CCGTTCCCCTCCGCCTTCTCTATTACTCTCTGTTCCATTCCCATTTCCGCGACCCGAAACCCCAAGCAAGTGCACGGAGAGGCGAGCCAACCCACCCAGCGATGCCTCCCAAGCGCAAGTCCCCAGCGACGGCTGCCCCTGCGGCGCGGTCCCCGAGGAAGACGCGGAGCATGGCTGCTGCAGGGAAGCGGGGAACGGAGCCTGCTCCGGCGAAGGCAGTGCCAGCTAAGAAGGAAAATGAGGCGGCGGTTGCCGAGCCAAAGGCTAGGAAGAGAGCCAAGAAAGGCGAGGCGGTGACGGTGGCCACCGAGCCGAAGGGGAGGAAGACGGTCAAGAAGGAAGCCGAGGCGGCGGCGCCAGCGGCAGAGGAGGAGGATGGGGGTGATGCGGTGGCAGGAGGGAAGCGTGTCATCGTCGAGGCCTGGTGAGTGCCTTCGTGTGTACTTTCAGGATATGAGGTGATTTTGCTGCTGAGAGAGAGAACAGATGATTTTGGGGGGACACGGGAAAAGATGGGATTTAGGTTATTTTGTTCTCATTTGATTTCCCTTATTGTTTTTTTTTCTGCCGGAGGAACAACGATATGCTGGTCTTTTACCAAGGAAAAGCGGGTGAATAGATAGTGATAAACACAAATTGGAAGAAACAGACAATATGTGGTGTGGGCTTGTTTTTCTTTGCAGTTGTCAGGTGATTAATGCAATATAAGTTGGAATACACATTCTTTACATTGACAAACAATATGAGGAAGCAAGTTGTCCTGTATACTTTTTATTGTTTTAATAGGAACAACAAATGGGCTTAATTTTAAAAAAAAATAGTTTTAAAGATGAAGAATGTATGCAACTCTATCCATTGCAGGCTATGCAATGTCGCTGATCCAAACACATTTTTTATTCCTCATGTCTGCAGGCTATTAAAATCACCTCTATTTTTCAAGACAATCTCACTTTGTAATAGCTAGTCCATAGTCACATAAAACAGGTTCACTACCATCTACAATCTAATCTCACTTCGTAATAGCTAGTCTGGTTCTGGTGTTATCTACAATCTCATCTTAATAATTAATTTTACAATCCTTAGGTTTATTGAATCCCTAGCTAGGATCTGACCTTGATATGGTCCTTGAAATATGTTTGTAGAAACTTTCTGGTGTTTTGATAGTGTCCTACTTTATTTGACTGGTCATGTTGGTTAATTGCAAGGACTTGCCTATTTCCTTTCTGTTGTAGATGTTTTGCTTTGACCTTTCATCTAATATTTTCTTATATATACTACAAGAAATTATTTATTTCTTGTATAAATTTTAGTATATTTTAAAAATAATGCTATTTCAGAGACATGTTGTCACAGTCCTAGACCGCCAAATCACAGTTACAGCAATATTTGATTGTTTGGGGATTCAATCTTAGGGGAATAAAAGGGAATTGGGTAGAGGAAGCAAAGAATCAGAGAGATAACAAGCAAGAACAGCAGGGAGAGGTTCTTGGTGAGAGGTGGAAGATGACTCAAGATTCTCGTTCTGTTCGACCCTGTCTCTGAACGTTGTTCCTTGCTTTTGTAGCTAGAGTCCTTCAGCCCAGCCCACTTAGGTAGCCCGGTCTTGGCCCACATGGCCACATGTCAGCCCAGTCCATGACTCCTGTCATCAGATTACAGTTTCTCATCCAATTTTACAAACTACACTTCTATGGTCATTAGTGTCACAGAACTGCAGTTTATAGAATCTATCCACTTTATCAGGTCATATTGCAAAACTAAATTTTATTCTCATTCAGCAGCTTACTAAGTTGTTTCGGAAAAAAATGTTTAGTTTTACAATATGGTAGCATAAGAAGATAGGTGTATTTTTGTGATTTTGTTTTTTAATGTCCAGATTTGCACGATATGGATGTAGGTTCTGCAGTAAGATTTCCAATCTTAGAACATTTATTTAAAGTTTACTCAAATTTATTATTCAAGTCTTTGAAAAAAAATTGAATACATCATTGCTGAAATGCATGGTGAATTTGAAACAGTAATGTATATTTGGCTAAATTGGGTCTGCTTTTAGATTCTATGATGATTTGATCTAGTCATAGCATTTTCATTCTGTTATCTCAACCTTGTTATCCTGTTTTCCCATGATATATATAGTTCACCAATTTCAGTAGATAGTTTCTATTTGGAACAAAGGAAACGGGGTTCCATTTCTTTTTCTGTAGAACAGAAGATTGGAGGATTATTCTATTTGCTGCTGGGAACCTGGAGTAGGTTTAATGTAGGGTTACTCTTTTATGTAGGAGTTTTTTGTTAGGTGGACAAAACTGGGAAAATACTAACTGTTTTCAAATTGGAAAAGGGTGTGGTGGTTATCAAACTTCTTGTTTTCCTCTTCTGTATATTGTCACAGTTTCCCCTGCTGTGTGGATAATAAACCAAAAAAAAGTAGGTAGTGTTTCTTTCTCCTGTGGTCTTGCATGTCAGCAAGTTTAATAGAGTTTTTTATTAGCATTAAACTTTGCAACAAATCTGGGTGAAGTTAAGCATTATGGATCTGTGTTTAAAAAAGGGAAGTTAGGCAGTGCCTAGTTGCTAGGCAGAGTAATACCGCTTTGTTGACACCTAGGCATTTTCTCTATGTATTTCCCTGTTCTCTCTGTTATTTTGCTCTCATCTCTGAATCCCCACCCACCACACACACACACACACACACACACATGCGCGCACGCGCGTCTTCATTTAACATGTAAAAAGTACAATCAAGAAGGCTTGCCTTGTCACTTAGCGGTCTGTATTGCCTGTCTAGTGCCTACCACCTTCTGTAACATTGTTTTTGAGGTCACATGTCAGCAAATTTTGTTTCGGGGACAACACATTGCAAGGAATAGTTGCCTTCATTAGTTGAAGGCTTCCATTTGTTTCATCGTTCTTAATATATTTATTCCTGTCAATGCACTTTATTTAGAGACACTGAGCTGCAACTTTGCTTATAGTTCTTCTTTCTGCTATTCTATAGCACTCAGTGCAGACAGTTTAAGATCCGAGCTCAGAAGGTGAAGGAGGACCTGGAAAGTTCTGTTCCGGGGGTGTCTGTGATAATCAACCCTCAGAAGGTATCCATACTGTGTTAATCGTCATGATCTTAGCCAAACCGTGGGTTTGTGTGATACCCTAAAACAGCTTCCATGTACATCCTACTTTCTTGATGGCCATTATACTGTTTTTTTTAATCCTCAGCCACGCCGTGGTTGCCTTGAGATACGTGAAGAAGGTGGCAAAGTGTTCATATCATTGTTGGTAATATTCTTAACTGTCATTTTCCTAAATCATATAGGTTCTCAGTGTGCTATATGTATTTTGTCTATTTTAGAGCTATTTAGTATCTGAGGCCTATGCCAAATTCTATCTAATGATCTCATGGTAACATTTGATACATTTTTGTGCATAGCAATTAGCCTGAGACAGCACAGCCCATTATCCCATACTAGAGTGATTCATGAAATTTGACTTTAAAATACAAAATTCGAACATGTACCATTTTTGCTAACCGTTTGTCCATTGCATTACTTATGATAAAACCTTCCAAACAAAAGTTGCATACATTTAATTTATTCAGTATCAGCTTACCAAATTGTTGTACTTCTTTTCATTCTGCCAGATGGAAAATCATATGGCGCCTAGGGGTGTTGGTGCCCTCGTTAGCTAAAATACCTTGTTACAATGTTTCAAAAATCATCATAAAAATCATGTATGTAGTACACCTAAAGTTAAGAGTAGCCGCAACAATTTAGATTGAAATTCTTCTTTGATTCTGAGACTAAAAAACAAAAGTGTCATTGTCAGCACATGATGAACAGTGCCAGGTTGATTGCTTGTCTAATTTGTTTCTTGGCATCTAGGATTGATTTCAAACTAAATTGTTGCGGCTATATTTAGCTTTACGTGTACTGCATACATGATTTTTGTGATGGTTTTTGAAACATTGCAACATGGTATTTAGCTAACAAGGGCGCCAGCCCCCCTGGGCACCAAATCTGCACTCCTGCCAGATATTTCGCTTCATTCCATGCTATACATTGTTCCTTAGAAAAACGTTAGAAAGGTTAAGATGAATAAATAGTAGTTTGCACCATCTAAGATGTCATGACGTTCTGAAAACAGTAGGGATAGCCCATCTTTGCATGTAATACCATAATGATGACATCCACATGATTTCATTTGGTTTATTTAAAACTGCTTTTGATGCACAGAACATGCCACGCCCCTTCGCACCAATGAAGAAGCTCGACATGGACAAGGTTATCAAGGACATCGCCAAGAAAATCTCCTAAATCATGTTGGCTGGCTATGGCAGGATGACACCATTTTGTGCTCGAAATCTTCAAGCTAAGCTCGTAATCTTCAAAGTGTACGGTGTACGCGTAACTTAGGTCACCATTTGTCGCATTTCCTATTGCATTGGCCATGTGCCCATGTCTCATAGAATTTAAACCCAGTGGTCCGTGCTTTGTTCAATGGAGTTACGACATGCCAAATTAGTACCTGTGGCCTGTGGCTATGTGTAACCTATATCTATGCTTGTGTTTCATTGCTGGAGGTATATCGTTTTCTGGTATATGCAATATGTCCTGAAGATTAGGTGACTTCTGATCTACGCTGTTCTCTGCCTCCTGCGTACGAAGCTTTGGAGTTTGAATTGTTCAGGTCGGTGAAAATCTATTTTTTCTTGGTATATAAGAGCATCTTCAAGAATGTTCAAAGAAAAAATATAAAGAGCCAAAAAAAAATCATAGTTTTGGGTAGCTGCAAAGGTATATTAAATGGAAAAAATAGTTTCTCCAAGTCTTATTTTTTAGCCTAAAATATGCCATGTCATCACGCGAATACTTTCCTGCTGCCTTCCACCACGGCCTATCTAGGTCCGTTATCAAACACATCGAGGCCAGCTACCTCCCGCTCCTCTAGGTCCGCGACTCGAGGCGCCACACCGGCTCCCCCCACCGGCACCGGCACGCACCATGGGCCCTACCACAGCTCGCATCCTTCGCCTCGTGCCCGTTGTCGCCGTGTTCCTCCTGGCCTCCCCCGCCTCCGCCTCCTCCGTGGACGCGGCCACGATCGTGTCCATCTCGCCGTGCCTGCCGCACGTGGTGCCCGTGGCGCCGCCGCTGACTGTCTCCCCGCCCGCAGCCACCGACGCCTGCTGCGTCGCCTTCCTCCGCGCCGTATCCCTGTCGGCGGCGGGAGGCGGAGAGGAGGGCTGCCTATGCCACCTGCTCCGTAACCCGCCTCTCCTTGGCTTCCCCATCGACGCCGCCCGCCTCGCCGCGCTCCTCGGGAAACGCCTTTGCCGCCGCCACCGTGGAGGCCGCCACCCTCTTCGCCGACGCCTGCCGTGGTGAGGGAGTCACGCCCCCTCGTGCCTTTCTCCCCTCTCGCACCATGATTGAAGAATCATCTGCGTTGTTGCGTCAGGTTCCTGTACACGTTCTCGTCGCAATGCTGCTGTCTTTGCGCGCTTTTGTTGTGTACAACCGCATATGGAGGACTAGCTCAAGTTGTGGATGACAAATAGCACTGGCTTGCTTGCTGCCTCCTAGACGCGCCATTCTCGTTCAGTTCTCTGATGGCTAGTCGTCAACTTAATCAGTCGTCTATTTTTTTTTTCAAATTTTAGGGACTCTGATTTGTCCTGACATTAATTGCTGCAATAGTAGTATTTCTGCTCTTTGATACTGGTTCTTAGCATGATTTTCTTTTTGGCTTCAAGTCATATCCAGTTGTTTGGCAGATATAAGTATTTTATAATTCCTTGCTTGAGTTAGATTGTATGCGAGTCAGACAGGTTCTCCTTTCATTTTAGTTTGTGTTCTTACTTCTTAGGGCCTGTTTGATGCATAGGGCTAATTATTAGCCAGCTAATTTTTAGCCCAAATTAGCTCTAGCCTATCCAAAGAGGAAGCTAATATGTGAGCTAATTTGGGCTAATTTTTAGCCTCAACTAGTAACTAGGCTTAGCTGATTCAAATAGGCCCTTAGCAAGACTCGTTCATTTGGTGTTGCTTGTCAACCGTTGTTTCGCGTTGTAGTGGAAAGGCAGCTGCATGTTTCATTCTTGTAATATAAGGCAACAATACTTTTTTCACCCTTGTCTTTTATAATTTAAGATCCACCATTAGTTTGGCATGTGCTAAACAAAATGTTAGTTTCTTTGGAACCATGATTAGTCATCTACTAATCTTAATCAATTTTCCACGTTTTGATTTATGAGAGTCCTTTCTGTTCTCAAAGAAATTTATTGTAACAATGTGATAGTTATGTCTTGTCTTCATGTCATATCCTGATGCTAAATCTTCAAGTCATATCCTGATGGTTTAGCAGGAGACAAACATTACCTGATGCTTGGCAAATTTCTCTCTTACTATAAGTTCACCTATTTTTGTTATGTTAGAAGCTGCCATCTTTCTTCTTGACATGCAGATCGCGCATGTACTGCTTGTGGTGTTTATCCTAATCATATGACTGAACAAGATAAAGAGTATAAAAAAGAGATATGAGTATAATATTGCACAATCCATTAACTCCTCACTGATCATTTTGTTGTTTCATTTCCTGAACTTAGAACTGAAGGCGCTGCCGGAATTGCATTTCATGCCCCAGTCAACAACCAGGCAAGAAATTTCCCCAGGTGAACATATTTCTTCAGATTACCACAACATTTTTTTTTTAAAAAAAAGGTTCTCACTGCTTTTCTGTCCACACGAATGTTAGTTTGTTGTGCAATTACAGTTTGTGTTTCATGAGATTGGACATGTTCATAATGTATCTTAACTACATGACACATCATGTGATGCATATTTCATAGTTCATAACTCTTTAGTACTTTGTGTTATTGTTTATATTAACTATTCTTACTGTGTCGTAATGAAGAATGCTTTGTAATTTGTGTTATTATGTATGGACTATTGTGTATTGAGTTTCTCTTTGGCATGGTTGCCTTCCTATGAAGGTTATATATGAATTAATCTTTTGATATATATGTGTTGGTGCAGCTGCTGTCCCTGAGTTAATGTCCAAGCCAATGGAGGCAGTTCCACCAGCTGGGTCAATGGTTCGTTCAAGCGCTGAGGTCTCCAGTTCCCGTGGCATTCCCATTGCTGCATTGATCCTCGCGGCAGCAGGAGCTGTTATCACGTAGTTCTTGTGATGTTTAAGTGCCACTTAATACTCTCGTTGACCTCGATCTTGAACTGCGTTTTGTCATGCCTAGCTTTGACGATTCATATGGCCATTGTATATCGCTAAGAGTCATGGTGTAGCGAAGAGATGGTCTCTGAAAAGCCCTTTCTGACCGCGGTGGATTCTGTCTACCATATTTTACCAGTGCTACTCCTATCATATGTTCATGCACCGCTTGCAAAGAGTCGCACCAATAGATGCAGTTTCTTCTGTGCTGAGTTTCTCTTCACCTGAAAAGGAGTGGCGCCAATAGAAGCAGTTTCTGCTGTGCTGAGATTACCTTTCGAAAAAAAAAGTTTCTCTTCAGCTGAGTGTCTCTCTTGTTGGTGGCGATACATTCGAAGCAAGCTCCCATAGCAATGACGTATTTTGGTTTAGGCATTTGCTCATATAATCTAACTAAAGATGGAGCCATTTTCATTGTTACCGTACCGGCTGTGAAAATTAGGTTTAGGTCCACTTGCCTAGGACTTGATCTTCTTGGTACCAATCCATAATGATCAAAGTCAAATCGCAAGCCTGAAGCAAATTCATTGAAACAACAGGTACCATATAGAATAGAAGGGACCATAAACAGGAGAGTCTTAGACCAATTCAAAAGATCATTTGGTGTTTTCGCAAAAAGAAAAGATCATTTGGTGTAGTTGAAATAACAGAATTGGAAGTTGTTCGGTTAAGTATAGGAAATTAATATAAGAATGAATAACTTTCTCAATTTTCTTGGAATCTTTTATTTATCTTAATATTGAGGCCATTCAGGCCATTCCAATGCTCACCACCTTTCCGGTGGCCTCGCATTTGGTAGGCGTATTGGCCTCGCATTTGATTGGCGTATTAGACTAGAAAAAAAGTCAAATTTATAAAGTTTGATCAACAATTAGTTAAATTATGTGCAAGTTTAGAGCATGAAATTTACATGAATAGATCTGTGTTCATAGTGGCTTCAAGATGATATTGATTCTTTAGCAATTGACTACGTACTACAAGAAAAAGTGCGGATAAAAATCTATTTATATGATATTTTCCGGTCAAATATGTCTATTGTTTCTAGACAGAGGGAGTATTAGCTGTTATTTAATTAGTTTGGTCCAACTAGTGAAATAGTTATTAGTTGGATATTCAGCTAACAATTAGCTAAACTAGACATATTTGAATCTAATGAGCTAATTATTAGCAGCTAACTATTATCTCTGTGGATCCAAACAAGCCCTAAGAGCACAACATACTAACCTTGCATTTGAGTCCCTTCCACTCATCTAGGCGAGTTGAAGCGTCGGTCTTGATGTTTCGCCTTCCGATGCGTGGTTATGATTGGGAAACCCGCCCTGCTAGGAGTCGTGGGGGGCGTGGCGTGGCGTGGCTGTAACTTCCACGACCGTGGGAGTTCAACGGCCACCGGAGACTTTTTTGAGGCTATAAATTAAAATGGAAGAAAAGGAGGAGGTGATTAACTGCCGAGCTCTCGGACTCACCTTCCCCTTTGCGATCTCTACTCAATCCTCTGCTCCGCCTTGACTAGATCGATGGACCACGACAAGCAACCAATGGAGTCGTCACCTGAGTCGAGCAGTCGTCCTCCTCTTCACGCCCTGATCTGGTAAGCTCATCTTTCGTCCTTTGTCTCATTCGAGTTGCCCTGACGTCGTTTGCTATATAGGGCCCACCCCGCGGCCGGTCTGCCACGGGCTGGTGGCCTTGCCTCGCACGAGCCTGCCACCTCTTCGCCACGCCATCCCTCCCCCGTTTGTTCTACCGCATCCGACGACTCTGATGATTGGGGTGACGGATAAGACCGGAGCACGGTGATCAGGGACCTCGACCAGAGCTACACCACCGTCTCAGAAAATGCACAGGGAAGCGGAGCGGCTGCGGTCTTCCTTGAAGGCTGTGGAGCTGGCGCTGGCCATGGCTCACTGGGAGAGGGTTGCAGCGCAGGCATAGCTTTGAATCTGCATCGATCCTGTTGCATCCTGCCATTGACCTGTTTGTTGTTCTTTCCGGTCCTCCGAGAACAACTGGCTGCGGAGCACCGGAACGCGGGGCACCATCTTGTCGACGCGGTGACTTCCAGGCATGAGTGTCGCGTTCTCGAGGACAGATAGCTCATGCTGCAGGGTCTCATCAATCAGCGGAATGAAGACCTTGTAACCCTCCATGGGGCGGCAGGCATTGATTGCAACGTGGTGTCCCCTACAGAGGAGCACGGTAATCCGGCGGAGGTCGAGGAGCGCCTCTGCGCAATGCCTGCACGTGTCACGGGCATGGTCTCGCATGGCATTCGGGTGGGGGCCACCAGAGCTCTAGCTGCCGCCCAGCTTCGGTCCGGGGATGCGGTGGACTTGCGTCAAGCGGACCCGGGATTCCCGCCACAATCGTCCCAGACGACAATTGAGTCATTGGTAGCTAACTTCGGCGCCGCCGGTCACGCAATCCTTGGTGCAATGGACGTGGAGCGGATCCTCCGTTCTGCTCTTGATGAAGAGTAGATATCGGGGGTGATTTCCTCCTCCCTGCAATTTGTATCCTGCTAGTTATCTTATTAGTTTGCAACTTGCTACACCTTCTGTTGTTTGGTACGGTATTTTGTGAACTTGTGTGTGTGTAAACTATATCTTGGGTGCCCACCACTGTTATTATACTATGATTTTGTACTTATCTGTATGTGAGATTGCGAACTATATACCCACCAGGTTGTTGAATTCCTTTCGTTAATAGTGGAGCCAAACTGGGCAGGTTCTGATGCTTTGTGTGCCGTATGATCCTGGTGTCCATGCGGCGAGATTGTGGGACGAGTGTCCAACGACTTTGTTGTCCTCCTACTATACGATGATGATCTGCTTACTCATCAGAGTATGAACCAGTCGTTGCTCTTCACTCAATTCGTACCTAGAAATTAGAATGAGTGTTTAGCTACCTTTGGCATAAATGTTGTCTTTGCTTTGCACATAACGTAATTCTTTATGGCCGCATTGTCTGCGACTCATACATGTTGGGTACAGTATGTTCCATAGCATAATAAGAAGTTCAATCTAAGGACCTCATTCAAGCTGAAGTGGTGGTGTCCTGGGAGCTTGTTGATGAAGAACATGCATGGGGAAGGATCTACCAGCCTATACATAAACCCATAGAGAATGTTGTATAAACATTGCTGTGTCGAGTTACT